CAAATCCAGAAAGTGCTTGTTGCACTGTTTGCTTCTCAGTGCCCCACAGCTTCTACGATTTATTACACATGAAATGGTATTTCACAACATAGGCCATAACATACCTACACAATTACATCAAGACTGAAAATCAAATTGATTTCCACCCAATACGAATTTAAGCAACTTGTATTTCTTTGATATGTGCTACATACACAAAATGGTTGTGGGGAAAAGCATTTTGTTTTATAGTCACAATCACTGTTTCAGAAATTAGGTTATTTACACACAAAAAAGCAGTCTGGATTCAGCTAAACCCTTAACTTTAAGCATACGGGTCTTTCATTTATGGACAAAAATCACAGTATAGTAACTTATTGTGATTAGATTGGAAATTGATTGCAGATTTATCTTTAATCCCATTTATTAATGGTGATAGAGAGACCCCTTTTGGTGACTGTGATATTAATACAGTAAGAGAGAAGGGAGCTGCTTTCCTGAACAGAACTGCGTAACACATTGTGCCTTTTGCCTGAAGATTCCTCATTTTCATCAGGCTATCTTGAACCTTCATTCCTCGTCTTACTGTCAGTTCTCACTCATTTATCTATGTTATCTTAATTACTCAAGTTCTCTCAGTCTTTACACTTGCACAGCCTTACTATGAATAGATGTTATCATTAAGTGAATGTATTTTATCAATTTTGTTGAACATGTAAAAATACGCCTAGAGTTAAATAAAAAGAAATCATTTGGAGAACTAATTTTTAATTAAGAACACCACGATGATGGACAAGTTTATAAATGTATTAGAACAGTGACACAGGAAATAACAGAAAACATTTTGCAGAGAATTATTTTATGACAGAACAGTATTAGGTAATTTTTCTTGATAAAATTTTTATTTAGTGTTTCAACAAGATAGACAATCTAAATGTTAGAAGTAAATGCTTTCCACTACTGACAGGCTATCTTGATCTCTGATTTTAACAGTCCTAATAGCTTTTGGGTTCCTCTTTTCTCAAGCACTAGGAGAAAGAAATGAAATACACTCCATCAATAGGCAGGGTATTTTTTCTCCACATAAGCAATGTGAACAATGTGACAGCTATCACACTGAAGACAGATGGCAGATGCTAATTCCTACCCAACTGACTTGCACTCTTTTTGATCATCATGTACAAAAAGAGTGCAGCAACTTGTAAGCTAGTTTGAAAGCCTCATTGGATGGCCTGAATTTACTGGGCAGAGAGCATATGGTCAGCAAAACCAGACAGAGAGAGAAATGATATCTGAATTTTTTTCTGTTTTTCCAAATCTGCCAAATCTATCTGAGCATTCCTGCAGAAATTTCTTAGCACATAGACATATACATGTAAGTCACTGTAAACTTGAGGAACTATAAATGTTTCATATACAATTAACTATTAATGATATAAATTAGAATCTCCTCTCATAGTTATACCTCTTCCAGTTTTCCAGCATGTTTATAGGAATAGTGTCTACATTCTTATCATCCTGGAATTACAGAAACACCTCAAAATTAACTTAAAAGTGCTAGACTTCAGGAACTTGTGGGGAGATAAATCTAGAACTAAAAGTCTTAAGAAACATTTCCTTTTTGAAAAAAAAAGCTTCTGGGCTGTATTTCATCGCTGAATCTTCAGATCTTCAAAACGCCCAGTTCCACATTATAGAAAATAAATGCTACACCTCATTTGCTAAAAACTGACCTCACAGTACATCAACATGTTTGAGCACCGCATCTAACAGCATGAATACTGCAGATACAACAAATGTACTTCCAAATGAACTCAAATATGTAATTTCTTCCTGTACATTATCTCTGCTAGAAAGCTGTCTTTACTCTAAAACTCTGATGTGAGAACACTACTTTCTACCTATCATCAGCAGGTGGCTTCCTTTCTCCTGTGCTAAAGTTTCAACAGCTCAATCCTACAAGACAGTTAGTACTTAAAACAAAGCATCTTTATGAAGAATTAACATTTGCTTTAACTAGCAAATACAAAATGTTGTAAGTAATTATTAATATTGAAACAAATTTGAAGTGTCCTTCAATCATGCGTGTATATATATATAAAATCAGTAAGTGGCATTTTTATGTAAACAGAAGCATCACTGCATTCCCAGCTTAGTAAGAATTTTCAAAGTATATACACGCATATGTTTTCTTGGCAAAACAAAAATGAGAAGTAAACAGAAAAAATAGCTGGCTGCTGACAGCAGGGGTGTCAAAAAGTAGCAAATAACAATTAGATGGTCATTTAGAGCCCCTAAAATGGACAATCATGAACATGAAGTTGATAAACGCTGAAGAAGAGGGAACAGGAGCACTTCTGTTGTTTGTACTGGTGACATCTAAGCTGATGGCCATCTCAAAATTCAACATCCAAAAGAAGTCTGAAACATTAAAATAATAATAAAAAAGACTGAACTACCTGTTACCTGAAATAATGAGGAAACATACTGTCCTGTTTTAGTGTCAATCTGTACAAAGCCATAAGCTTAGAGATGGCACAATATCTATTATAGACAGTATATTCCTTTGAATCCAATGAGAAAGGATTTTTTGAAATCTCAGCTGGAGAGATGAACTTGTTATAAATTATATTCAGTGGCATTACTTGAGAATTATTTTTATTGCAATAGCATTTATTTCCCCTCAAAGCAATTTCAACTATTGCCTTACATACCTTTAATTTCATTTAATAACAATGGGCATATACCCTTGGTATTAAAAAATGACATTTCTTCTTTGTCTTCAGTGCACACAAACCAAACAAAAATCAATACTTTATATTTCCGCACTTCAGTAAGAATAAAGCATCAGGCTCACAATGCTCTCTAATATTCACAGTGGAGTCTTTCAAGGTAAATTACTGAGATTTAAGAATACTACTTGTAAGTCAGCAGTACAGTTCTTTATGCCTCAACACGAGGATCAGTACATAAGCTAACATACATTCCACTAAGAGTAATTCTTTGTGATTGTTTCAGTGAAGAATGTACTCATAAACTAATGTTTAAAAAAGAATGTATTCTACACTTTATTTTTTTTTCCCCCTAGAGGAGAATGATGCCAATTTTGTGATGAAATGCATTATTGACAATCCAATACTCATGCAATATTTGAAGAATAATATCTATCAGCACAGGTAAGCATTCATTTGGAGACACTCTGTAGTTGTCATCAGAAGAAAATTTGTTGTGAAAGTATTTTTTTTTCTTACTTTTTAGAAAAAGGAAAAGCAAATCACCTTTCCAAGACAAACCTTTTTGATGAATATTACAGTAAAGATCTACTTTGGTGTTGCTTATAAAGTAATTTTTTACAGGAAATGTAAACTGATAGATGTTCATGCATCAAATTAGAAGGCAACGTTTCATACACTATCTTGGAAGGATCACTCTAACAAATTCTAATTTAAATTTCATTCCCTTGTAAGTGTAGCTCACTTACCAATTTTATTTTTATAGCAGAACTCTAATAAATCATTAGATTCCACTGAAGTGTGTACACAAAACCTTAAATTTTAGATGTTGTAAATGCAAAGTTATTAAACACTGAGACTCAAAGGACAATTAGCCTAAGTAAAAAATAATTTTAACAAACTGAAAGTAGTGGCATGAAAGCTGCTGACTGCTATTCTGTAAAACAAATGAAAGCCTTTACCAAACAACCTCCCTATTATTCATTTTTAATGCATTCAAGAGTTTTCAGACTTTAATAGAAGGCTTTTCTGCTCTGAGATGTAAATTTAAGGAAGGTAGAATAAAAATTTCCGTATTTCCCAAACATCTACTTTTTAATAAAAAACATTTAAAAAACATTTAAAGAAAACAGAACTGAAGGAGCATGTTTACTGAATCAGACCACGTAGCAAGCCATGCTGACTTCCAGCAATTTTCTGTTGCAAAATTCAGTTTACACATCTGCCTTTAAAACAAAAATGATAAGAAAGATACCTTATCTCTCTAGGCTTCTGGATGCAATTTCAGGGGAAAAAAAAACAACAAGAAGTTCCAGTAAGCTTTCAGAGTCTACTTTTGTGTCTGATGATCTTAACTTAAACCAAAATACCTGGCATCCTGAGTCTGACCAATTGTTAGCTGTTTTTCTCATTTTATATATGCTTCTCATAAAGCAACAGTAAAATTCAAATCTGTATCTACCTTTCTCACATTAATCCTGAAGGCAATTAAATAAACAGTTAAAAATGTCAGAGCTGTATATACAATATTCCATCATGTCTATTAAAAATCACGTCAGCTTCTGAAAGAAAAAACACATACTTTACAAAGCATGCCACCTTTACAACTCAAAAGCAAGAACCAAAGGAAAAGTGCCATCACGTTCTCATCTAGTCATGAATGCTAATGACCAAGATCTACAGGTCAGGTATTGTTTAAGGGATTAAAGATAGCTGGATAACTTCTGACATAACTATATCCTGTTGGAACATATTTCCAAACTGGAAATATGGAATAAAAAATTAAGTGGAATTTTCTTGATATCATCCTGTTTCAGCATTTTCCAATTAATCTCTGTTGACAGTACCAAAATTAAATTAAACAAAGTTAAACAAAGTTGAAATTACTTATCCCCCATAGAATAGTCAGATAATTTCTGAAATAGTTATATGTAGAGACTGGAAAATTTCCTGCAATCCCAAGCAACACAAAGTGGTAGCAGGCAGGCAAGGCAAATCTTGAGGCTACATGCTGCTCAGAAAGCAGAAAGTAAAGCCCTCAGGAAATGATCTTTGGCAAAGGCATTATTTAGTGTGGATGTTGAAGGAAGTTCAACGGAAAACATTTATCAAAAATGCCTGCCCAGAGAGGAAGATATGCTTTTTTAGGGAAAAATGCAAATATTACTCAGCACACCAAGGGCAAAGGAAATAGGAAATGGGCTAGGGAGTTCTCTAAAATAATCTGTCACTGAAAAGTGAGAAAACACACTTGTCTGTTGGCAATTCTTTTTCAAAGCCTCTCAACAGCTCTGGTTCCTTTTGCGGCTCTGTGCCCTTATCTGAAAGTTGGCAACTTCCAATTGAGACTTCTAAAAGGTAGGATGGAAATTTTAATTTGGTTCCTATGTTGATGGATCACATGCGTGTTTGTTACTTGGACCTTTGGAATAACTCATAGAAAAGCACAAACTTACCATGTAAACTGTACAACTCTGCAAAGTTGTATTGGTTGACTTTGCTGCTCTCTACAGAGAAACACCAGTGGCGCAGTCAGAACCTTTCAGGGGCGCTTCTCAAACAAAGGGCAGAGTACTTCTCTGCAGGGCTGTCACTGCTGAGCCTGCCATGTTGGGACACGAGTGGAGCAGGCCCTTTGATAGCTGATGCAAAGAGGAAATGGGTATTCCTCATATGCAACACAAACTCTCAATGAGGATAGAGAGCGTGCTTTGAATGCCGCATTTTTAACCTTGAAGTTCTTAACTATGCAGTAAATCTCACGAATCCCTGAATTGCAAAAATGTATTTTAGAACATGTATATTAGGGTCAACTTTAAAATAAATTTAATGCCATTAATAACTTAAATTGCAGATAGTAAAGAAAAATAGCTGCTTAGAGTGAAGAGAAAATAAATGCTTATTAACTACAGGCAATTTTGCCACAGCACTATTGGTCAAATGAATGGAACAACATGTCCTCACAAAAGGGAATACACCAACAACACTTCCATCAGCCACATCTAAAATTGTCCACTTTGATTATAATTAAATTTCTCAAAGTTAAATGTAAATGTTAGAAATCACAGCTGCTGCAATTAAAGTTGCATTATGTTTTATACAACTAAATGTTACTGGAATGGCCTCAGTCTGACAGATGCTTTCCAGGTTTCTCTGAAAACACAGTGGGAAAGAAAGAGAAGTACACGATACGCAATATTCACATTGCTTAATTCTAGATACCAATAATATGAAACAAAACTATAGATTCCTCAACGGAAAAAAAGAGGCTTCTCCAGAGGGTGATTTAAAGGCACAAAAATTAGGCCTGTTGTTCTAAATTGCACTCAAAGGGCTCATAGAGCTACAGAAAGTGAATCTTTCCCACAGCGTCTGCTATCAAGAATATACACACACAAAAAAGAGCAAGATAAAAAGAAGCAACATCCTGCGAGAATAATCAGTATGATTGCAATCTTGCACTAACTGGTCTCCCTTCTCTATTCACTGCTTGTATCTTTTCCCTTACTCCACTTTCTAGGTTAAGTAATGCTATCATGTTTTCCTCATCATTTCCTCAATTTATAACATAGATAAATAAATGACTTCATCATGAAAGATTCAACTCAATAGTGCACTCACATGCCTAATACATTTCTGAAGTAGGCTTTAATTTATTGTACATCAACAGAGGAAGTGGATCTTTAAGAAAGTTCTCCTAAATAAGGAAAAACAGTCTAAGGGTATTTAATAAAGTTTGATGACCCCTAGAATGCAAAAATGACATATATTACTGCTCTGCCACACCAGTAAATGGAAAGAGTGCCAAAATAATCTAGAAACTGAACATTTTCTGACGGATGAATCAAATGACTTGGCAGGGAGGAAAGAGTTAATAAAATGGGAGAAGCTTGAAGAAAATCCAGTTACCTCCAGGTTTCACAGCATTGGTGTATATTTAGAGGGTTCTCTTTTTTTAAACACTGAGTATCTTAAAGCCATGTAGGTAGTGATGACAGCTAAGTACTCAAATGCCTTTGTGAAGTGTGATATCAGATTCAGATAATTTTCTCTATCAGAATTCATGTAAAAATCGCCACCATCTTGCTGACAATAATAAGCAATAATGCCTTACCCTCTTATCAAGTAGAGATGCATCCCATTGGATTAGATTTGGAGAATAAGTTTGGGAATATCCAGGGCATAAGGAAATTTGTGGTCCTTTTGCCCACCTCATTGCACAGATAACTGGACAGTTTAGGCTTCACTGTAATATCTAGCACTCTGGCTGTTTATTTTTAAATAGTTTGTTAGTTCTACTTTTCACTGCACTGTTAATACATATATTGTGCAACTTAATAAAAAGCGGTCACTATATTTATTGCTCGCTAGTCCTACAATTTAGACATTTTTCTGTTTTTGTTAAAATCCGAACAATTTCAGAAGCAACAACAGGATATCACATTCATGGACACCTAGAACCAAACTGTGTAAAATACTAATAAACACCTTTAGAAACACTCAGCACAGAACAAGGTGATGAATCAAATACTACTTTGTGCACACACTTGTTATCTCTAGCAAGTTTTCTGTATTCATAGGAGCACATCCTACAGTAGAAGAGCTGGAGGAACTGTCCAGTTCCCATTTGAAGCCATCTGTTAACGCATTTCCAGCTATGCAAAGAAGAGTCCCTTAACACTCTGTTCTAATGAGATGTGTGCTACTCGATTTAAACCTGTATGAGTCAAATACTCTCTCCCTAAATATAAAAGGTCAAAATAAGCAGTGAATACACTATATGTGAAAAGATTGAATTCACAGATGTCCAATTTAGAGAACCAGAAACTCCTGGGGCACAGAAGACACAACTAATTTCTGTACAGAATAGACATACGGGATGAACATTTAACTGCTAAACTCCAGTTAATTCTGTTCTATAAAATGCTGCTATCCTATACAGATACCAAATAATACTACATCAGAAAGCATCATCGTGTATTTGGCCTATAACCATATATATGTGTGTGTGTGTATAGTTTAATGGTTCTAAGTTGCCATGCTATCCCACAACTTTATGCTGGACCAAACTGCCACAGTATCTATTTCACATAGTTTTGCGGTACTTACTTTGCTCTCAAGTATACATGCATAAATTAAAACTTAGGGATAACAGTGGCAGCTATGTTTTACAATTTGGCACAGTGAATCTTCAAAAACAGATGAGGCAGGAATTAGTTATTTGGATTCTATTTCAATAAAATTTCAGTATTTGGCTCAGAAAAGGAACAGGATTATCCACGTCTGTCTCTCTTGTGAAAATATGATGTCTTTACATAAAACGTTGTTTACTGTATGTTGGATAATTACATTGTCAAATAATAAGACATTATCAGTTTTATTTACTGAAGATGCTCTAAATTACATGGAAAATGTCCAAGGAACAATAATATCTAGTAATACCAGCCCTTGGAGGAGCTATTTTTTACCCTCTCTCTACACTGCATATTCAGGATTTTTAGACAGAAAAAGCCCCTATATGTAGACCAAAGACTGAAATGTAAATGCCCAGAAGGACAGATCAGCTCCATCAAAGTCTGTATGTCATACCATATTTACAACCAGATCTGACCGCATGATGTTTGGCATAACGTAATCTAGATCAGGCTCACTGAACAAGGTCAGTGGAATGGAAGAATTCGCATCCATCTCATTTTCTCTTACCAAAGAATATACTGTGCACGTGTTATAGCAGCAGATAGTCTGGCCAACACTTTCTCATTTTTCCCCGTATACAAATCCGGCATATCTCAAACACTCTGGATTATACACTAGAAATAACTCTGTGCTGTAAATAACTTGCAAAAATATGCACACACACACACACACACACACACACAGTACCTTAAGGCAGCAGTTTGCTTAGGACTGATGAAACTCTAGGAATTCTTAAATATATGACTTATTGCCTGAATTGAGAAGAGATAAAGCATGATTGAAGACTGAAGCACTTTTAAGGTTTTTTTGTAAACTTTATGGCAAAACAACAACAATATTCATAAATTCCATGCATGGCAGCAGTCCTGTGGGTCCTGTTTCTCTAGGCAACTCTGGACTGTCATATATTGCAGAGATCTTTGCCACTGCATCTGGAACAGCTTAGAATCACAGACTAATTCAAGCTAGAAGGGTCCTTTTGAAGACCCAGTCCATCTTGTCCAACCTTCCTGTCAATCATGGTCAGCTATCAAATAATAGCCAGCATGACGTTTTAACAAAATTAGATACCTAAAGAGATAACTTTAACAGGAACAGTAATGACTTACATAGATACACAACAGATTTTCTATTAGTGACCCTCAGTAATTGATGGCACATATTTCCCCCCCCAACCCCATTTATTTGTTATGCTTTTATGAGCATGAGAACTGTAAAACAGAACCAAAAATCAACCTGGTTCAAGGTCTTGCAGAGGAAAGCAATGTGCTACTGAGCAGTTCAGACTGAGGTGTGGGCCTTTGCGACTTATCTCAGACATATGTCAGCACAGCCTGTATTATTGGTACAGCAGAAAATATCTTGCCAATATCATATCTCAGATGTGAGCTGAACAGATTGCTTGACATTTCCAATGCAGAGCAAAATGTTCTCATGTTCTCTGAACTACTGCAAGTCATAGATTGGGGTGTGAAAAACAGTGAATGACTCTCACAGGCAACACGGTGTAATAGTATGTGGTGTGGCTTTGTTTTCTGACATGGTTAGATATAAAGAAATGTCAAGAAACACCCCTAGGAAAACTCAAAATTTTGAGAAAAGTAAATTTCATTGCAAATAATATTTCAGCTTCTAACTAGAGGCATTTAAGTATTTTAATTTTATATAAATAACTTTAACAACCAGATATTCAAAACATGGATATTGCAATACAACACTCCCAGTTCCAATCCCTTTATTTCCTGTGCCTACTGTTCATATTGTCAACATTTCTGTAGTTCATTTTAGTTGTATCAGTATCTATAGAATTTCAAAATGAATGGAAAATGAATGTATCAAGAAGTCCAAGATATGGAAGCTTGTATAACAGCTTGTATTACACTACTTCAAAATGGAAAGCACCATGTGACACTGTTATCAACTTGCAATTGCTGATATAACACACACTGAGAATTTCCAGGAGCATACTGATATCACTCATGTAATACAACAAGCAAATTGTATGCTGTAATTTACAAAAGAAGGATTAACTAATAGTCAAAGAAAATGGTGCTGACCACATAAAACAGCTCATAAAAGATAAATAATCTGCAATGGCTATAAATTTTTCTGCTTGTAAGGATACCTATTCGAGTAATTTGAAAGACAATTAGATTCTTTTT